ATTACCCAATTGAACCTAATAAATAATGTGATAAATCAGAATAATAGAGATATTACAATTAAAAAATTAAGTATCATTCCTACCGCCATTACTTTTGGAGGATACTGTATATATATGATTTTTATCGAAAGATCAATTTTTTTTTACGTGTCCTGTACAAAAACAAATTTATGATTATGATTATTTTTTTTTGAGACATAATTAATTAAGCAATTATATAGATGCACCATAATTAAGATTAAATAATACTCATTTATGAATACAAGAAATAAAGATATAAAAATATGATTTTATAAGATTAAATTGCCAAGTGTGCCAAGTGTCATCAATATAAATTTAAGATATTAATCGTAATATCAGTTAAATACAATTTTTTACTGAATTGTGGGAAATTCTAAAGACCCTGCGAAACATTACAAATGTTATTTCTGTCTTACTTTACATCCTTCTTTTTGTCTTCGTTTTCCTCTAATCTCTTGCACCCTAGTCCCATTTACTTGTCTTTACTCCATGCTATAAGATAGCTTAACAAAGAAATTATCTTACAAATATTCTTTCATAATCAAATTTTATACATAAATTTGATTCAGAAATACCTCTTTTATTGATAAACAAATAATTAATTAAGTAGCCGTGTTTATTTTAATACAATTAAAAAAAAAAAAAAAACATCCCGATGATTATAAAAATAATTTCCATTTAATTGTTTTCATATAGATCGTTAAACTGTACATATTATACCCACTAATACTTATCAATTCGTTATATTCAATTATAAATTAAAAAATAAACACTCGATTTTTATTTTAACAAATTGCTATTTTTCAAAGGAAATTTTACCTTTATCCAAAATAAAAGTTCTTATTCGTTATATTTTTTATGCAATAAATTATTATGAATTACTCTAACTTATTTGGAAGTTAATTTCCTTTGAAATTTATGCAATTTATTAGTTGGATATAACAATTTTTTTTTTTGCAATATTTAATACATACATCAATCTGCAAAAATAATTCGAAAGCTTTAATTCAAAATTTTTTTGAAAAGACTACAAAATTTACAAAAAGTTGATTTTGAAATGAAGCAAATGATATGATAAATGAATTTATTTAGATTTGTTGATCCAATTACATTTCCCAAAAATGTAAAAGATTTTAAAAATTGTGTAATCGTAGACATATCCAATTCATAATAAGAGACGCGTCGAAATGATATAATTCAAGGCTTTAGCTTAATAGATGGTAAGTTATGAGTATTTTACTATTTAGAAACATTTCAGATTCAAAAGACACAATGATACCATCTGTCGACATTCTAATCATGCCGAATATGGTGAGCTTTGTTCTATTTTTTACGATCGAATCGAACTCTCTATAAATTAATTATAAATATGTGAAGTTTGTTATTAAAACTCATCTCGTAACTTAATTTTTTATAGCGCAAGACCATATTATCCTGTCTGGGTTATCCTGTTCCACAAAATGTTACTTTGATAAAAAAATTTATGCAATTGATCGACCAATTAATGAGGACATCAGTCACATGATGGCTAATTTAATTAAATCTGCAATACAAGTGAATCATAATGAATTACAAATTAGAACGGAATAGAATTTCTGTTATGTAAGTGTATAAGATCGCTTTCCTTATGTCACATATTTGCATTAATATTGGTCTAACTAGATTTACAAAAAGATGTTAATAATAAAGTATTAATTCTTTCATTGCTCCCAAAAAAATCGATCTTCTTATCGCATACATTTATTAATGAAAGGTAACAATATTTATCTTTCTATCTCAACCTTTAATTCAGTATTGTTAAATATAAAAAAAATACATTATAAAATTTTGAGCATTCAGTATATATGAATTCCAAAAATAAATGAGGCAAAAATAATTACGTAATTTGATTTTACTCAGAATAATTTCTAGTTATTAATAAGTGCGTATATTAATACTGTATTGGTTAAGGGAAACAATAATAAACTTAGAAGCGCGTATTTAAGAGCAAGTCGGCGTTGACCGCATAATCCGATTCGATCGACAATTTCAAGTAATAAATTTTCTTTCATTCTTTTTCCAATTAATCTTCATGGATCATATAAAAACAAAATTAGAAGGTTATTTTTATCGATCTAGCTTTTTTATTTTTTTGAAACGCAAAAATACATGAGCGATGAGTGATAAGGAAATTACATTTTATTTTTTTGAACCCGAAACGTTGGAAGAACCGGAAGAGAAGAACAGAAAACGAGAACCAAATATGTTCATCTCATATCGTAATGAAAGGATGAAAGATCGACCACCTAATATAACAATGGCAGAATTTAGCAAAATCGTGTCGGAAGAGTGGAAATTGCTATCAGAGTATGAAAAGGCTAAATGGCAAAGAAATTATCAAATAAATCGAGATCAAAATTTACAAAATTCTAATAAATATGTACAAAGAAATGATCAAATGGGTAAAAGTGGGAACGTTAATGCGAATCATGTAGCTAAAGACATAAGCAATAATGAAAAGTCTATATACCACCCAAAAGTTAACGTATTACAAAATGGAGATGAAACCAATTTCAAAAGTTCATTTAACTTGAAGGCAATTGGAGACGAAGGTCGGATGAACAAAGATCAAAAATTACAAAAAATGGACAATAATGTCATTGCCGATCAACTAGGAGAAAGTTCGAATAAAATTCATCCCAATTCTATATACTATAAATATTACGTACTTTAATATTAATACATTTTTCGTTGAAAATATTGGACCGAAATTGATTAATTTTATTTATTTATTTATAATAATAATTCCTCTTCAAAGAACAAATTCTAATTTTTTTTTTTGACTTATTCATTATTGAGCGTAATCATTTTCATTTAAAGCATAATATTCTTTTTTTCCTTGTAAAGAATAAATTATTTTATTTTAAAATTAGTCAAAACTATAATTATTAAATAAAGTAGTAAATTATTTAATCTTGATATAGTTAGTCTGTGTTCGACAAAAACACACACATTTGGCTAAATAAACATGCGATCCCTCATTTTCTCCCATTGTGCAAACTTTTTGTTGTGTTCGGAGGTACGATGTAGCACTCTCCGTGTTTCGGCTCAATTTTGAAATCCTATTTGTCACGCATTATTTGACCACACGCCATGGCAAAGCGGATAAATATCTAGACATACTTTATATTTACATGGTTTGAGGATGTTTGTCGTATGAAGATCCATAAAGATCCCTCAACGAGATGATTTGCAAGCTGGTCATACAACATAATACTGTAATTATATATTGAAACAATGGAAACTTGGAACATTAAGAAATTAGTCTCTTATCTATCTCACTCCTGAAAATCAACAGACGGCAAGCAGAAATTGACGAGTTCTTTTCACTCCGTTCTCAATGATTTAGAATTGTATATAATTTTGTGCAAAAGTATTGTGTCCCATACGATATTAAAAAATTCGCCAATATTTTTTCGTACAGATTTTGCATTAAAATTTAATAATACATTAATATAAAATTTCTGACGTAATGTAAATTTATATTTGTCATGCCATTCTGTACTTTACATTTTTGGCTATAAAATAGTCATATTTAGCTTAAAAAACGGTGTTCTATACCAGAACAAAGGATATTGTTTTTTAAAAAAAAACACATGATCAATTTAAAGAAATCAAATTTATTGCCATTTTAATTTTCATTATATTAGGTTTTATTAGGTTAATTGCTTAAATTTTTTTAGATATTATTCGTTCATTTCTGAACAAGAAAAATGCAGTTCAAAATAATAATACATTTCTTCTCGACTAAATTACTTAAATATTGTAAATTTGTTTTTAATTTATCTTATGTTTTGTATGTATATCCAAATATTTCAAATATTTAAATTAATTTTAACCTCGTCAATCTTTCTAAAAAGAGCAAAATTTTAGGAGCGTTTACTGCCTACCAATGACTGTGCAATAATATTTCTGTCAATGCTAACTTAGTAAAAATGAAAAGTCAACCCGGGTCATGTGATTTTCGATGCTTAATATAGTAATAAACCAACCTTGTGAGTGAAAAGCAATTTCCCAAATTTTATAGGAAAAACATTATGTGTGTGACACGACGCAGATTTTTATAGTCACCGGGTAATATTTTTACTATGATCACGTGGGTGAAAAAAATTGTGGCGATACTGAAGTCAAAAAGAACAATGACTTTATTCAGCCACAACTATTTACTTTATATGGTAAAAAATCAACCGCCACCAAAGTCTTATTTTTATTTGATAATCAAGCTTACTTTTTATTGAAAAATCTTAAAAAAAATCTTATTATTTTGTAATAAATTTATTAAATCTAAATTGTTAATTTAGTTAGGTATTGTAAAAAAAGAATATAAACGTAAAAATTAAAAACGTATGTAAAGTTAACGAGCGAATAAATTAAATAGGGGAAAAACGAAATTAAACGAAATTAAACGAAAGTAGTATACGATGCAAAACGAGTATAATATCGAAATAACGAAGAGGAATTATAAAAAAAAAAAAATACAGATTTTGATGTTATTTTGTTACACTTAAATCGGGTTTTAATGAGTACTATAAAAATTCAGATTATTTGCATTAACGTCAAATCATATATTATAAAAAAACAAAAAATAATAATAATAATTGTTCGTTGCCAATTGGCGCGTGGCTATTAAAATTTCGTTGCAGAGCATATTATTTTGTTATGCTTCATAAATTATTAATATTCATAATTCATGAAATCACCATCCTCAAAATCTTCTGAATGATAATTATAAATTGTTACCATATCTGCTATCAAAGGAATAGATAGAGTCGGCAACGTAATGTTCGTCGTTTCTTGCGTTTGGAAATGTTTGATACTGATTAAATTGATAATATGATGCCATCAAAGGAGCAGACTCCAAATATTCGCCTTGATACTGATTGAACTCCATCGAAGAATTTAATTCTAAACTTTCGCTCATTTGACCAGAAAGGCTATATTCGTCAATCATTGTGTTGGAAACTGATTGATACATCGAAAGATTAGAGTCTAAACTTTCGCTCATTTGATCATATACATCATTTTCGTTATTCATTACGTATGGAAATGTTTGATACAAATTAAATTGACCAACTTCCGCCATTGAAGAATTTTCGCCCATTCGTCTAGAAACGACATTTTCTTCGTTCGCTGCGTTGGGAAAAAAATGACACTGATTAAATTGACCAACCGCTGCTATCAAAGTATTAGAGTCAGAATTTTCGTCCATTTGTCCATCTACGAAATGTTGGTAGTTCATTACGTTGGAACATGGTTGATACTGATTGAACCTATCAACTGCCATCGAAGTATTAGAGTCCGATCTTTCGCCCATTTGAATAGCAACCGAAGGAATAGAGCATGAACTTTTGCTATTTTGAACAGCAGTGGCATGTTCATTCACGGTGTTAGAGTACCTTTGCTCCCATCTGATCTGATAATTTCTTATTCGTTCAGCCTTTTCATCTTCTGGCATATTACGCCAAAGTAGAGATACTATTTTGCTGAACTCCGTCATCGGCAAATTATCTTTGTTATATTGCATCATTTCGTTACGATAATAAATGAAAGCATTTGGTATTCTCTTCTCTGTGACCTTTTCCGATCCATCAGTCGTTTGTGGCTCTAAGAAATGAAAATTCATGATTCAAAATTATACAAAGATGACAGAAGATGTTCAATAAAATATAAAGGACTAAAATTTTTGTAAAGACTAAATCCAGTCCATTTATACATTTGAATCGAAAAGTTAATGTAATTAATATTTATAATCTTATTAAATTTTATATCAGATTTTTCCCAAAAAGTATCGAATGACCTCAGGTGATTCTTCTCGGATGATGCTTCTTTTCTTTTTTAAATTCAAAAAGAATCAATCACGCCCCATTAGATAATATTGTTGGTCGAGTGCGAGAAGTACTACTTGAAAATATGTCATGAGGGAATTCAAAACGCCACACTGCGGCGGGAAATGCTTATGCGGGCACTGCTCATTTTAAGTAATTAATTAATTAACTTCAAGCAAAAGTTCGTGTTTTAAATCGGAGATCTTATCCGTACAACAAAATTAGAATATTAATTGAGCATCCAATATCAAATTATCTAATCAAGCATGCTAATTAATTTTAGTATTAATTAATAATGTTTGCATACGGGATTAATAAAATAGTATTTAATATGGAATTGAATTCCTAATTTAGTTTATACGCAAATAAATAAACTACCTCCTTTGATAATTGCATTAAAACATTTTACAGTACTCAACGACTCATGATCAAGGGAAACTTTTTTTTATAACTACAAATGACGACAAATATTATATGCCTAACTAAGCTACTCCAATATATATCAAACTACATATAATTTGCTACACGAGTTCACGAAAAGATTAATCGAGTCAATAGCCACATTTTTTAATTCATGTTGTGTAATTTTCAATCCGAAGTTTACCGAACAAATAAATGGGTTTTGGATTATTTTTTTTTCTTTGATCCAATTGTTTTAACGTTAACATTTCATCACAGACTTGGAAATTATTTGTAGATCTCTCTTATCTACATAATCTTACTGCGAATAAATAATATTTACAATTCATAGGATACTGCATAAAGTATGTTATCACATGACAATAACAATGGTACATGCAGTGTTGTACATTTTTTATATCCAATACATTTTAAGAATGTCCAACACTATATTTAAAATATTGTCCAAGAATGTCCCGTGACAACACTGAGTACATGGGTTTACAGAAACATTTTAGAAGCTTTCTTTTTTTTTTCAGGTAATTAAATTTCCATGTTTGTTTAATAAATGTTGCTTGTTTAAATATAAAATATAAAACTTTCTATATTTTCAAGACAAATTACTTTTATATTAAATATAAATAAAAAATTTTATTAAACTATCATTTTTTATAAATCACAAATTAATAAATCGTGATATTTTGTTTATTATACTTACTCATCTTGAAATTCAAAAAAAATGATTACAATGACAACAAATATTATGCATTGAGGCTTAGACAATATCATTAAATTCATTTGCCGAGGCAGATATAATTGCATAACCGAGCAACAAGAAAATGATCTGCTCGTGTTGATTTCAAACTAATGACGCCATTGTTTATAATATTTAATTTCATTTTATATTTCATTGTTATTTAATCAGAACAATTCCGAATAAAATCCTGGGGTCCTGTTGGTCTCTTTTTCGCATACATAAATAAGCCTAAGCCTAAACCATATTCAAAATATAATCAATTTATTGGCTGGTTATTTTTGGAATGTAATGCAGATCAATCCTTGACATATGTCATAATTAGAAAGTATAAAAGTTGACTTTTAATACGATTATTAATTTTTTTTTGTTTTCGTAGCACACATAAGTCAAGTATCAGTTTATCACTCGGATCAAGCCGCGAAATTCTAAAACATCAACAAATAAAATCTAAACTAAACTAAAAAAGCAAATAAGCAAAAAAAAAAAAATGAAAAAAATGTCCTACCAGCCCTCCCAATTGTAATAAAGCAGGAAGACTTGTGCTGTGGGAGTGTAAGTTGGCAAATTATTATGTAAAGTATATAATGAACTATTAGGTGATAAGTTCGAACTGTAAAAAAAAAAAATATTAATAATATTTTAACCAATATTTTCTTTTATAATACAAAATTTCACTAAAAATGATTGAAATGA